TATTATGGGTACTTACCCACCTTAAATAAATATTTGTACAATTTTTCGCGTTACTTCAATTTCAATTATACATTAACCTAGATTTTAATACAATATGCTTTTTCTTCTTTTACATTAGTTTAATTATCATACGGCTTAGGATCTTGAACGTTGTTATTAAATTACATTATCGATAAATTTATTTTGTCCATCACAGTCACATCACTAGTGACTAGTATTCAAAGTCCATCTCCCGTTTATTCATGAATTGATTGATGCAACACTAGTGTTGATGGACTGACCAAAGCTTTTGCAGTGACCTATTCAACATCTATACATACATAATCTATATCTTTACCGATTTTTTAAAGACGAAAGTTTTGTATTTTTGTATGTATTGAAATAACTCAAAAGCTACTGGTCCGATTTTAAATTCTTGCACCATTCAAAAGCTACGTAACCACTAAGTAACATGGGCTATATTTTTTACTATTCTTTAATATTCCACGGGGACAAAGTCGCGAGCAACAGCTAGTTGACAATACTTTGCATGTTCCTCTATAAATTTCTATACGAATTCATATTTGCGGTTCTACTAAGAATGTTTATTGCCACCAATTCATTATTAGTGTTAACTAATATATGTAACACTAACTAACTATCTATCTAACACCTCAGTGCAGATTCCTCATACTTAATCTGCTTAGGCACTCCCGAAGTTACTTGAATTGGAACTCGTAATGTAAAGCTTAATATAAAAGCCCTGTTCTGGGGTCTGGAGACGGTGCAATTGGCTCCTATTGTTTACTTTCTAATGTTTGCAAAAAATTAGGTTTATACGTTTACACAATATGACGAGGATTTTCCAATCTATATCTATAATTCTATTCTATTATAATAAAGCGTAAACACACACTTCTTTGTTGCCTAACATGTCAGCAATTACAGCATATGTTTGAATAACCCTTTTTGTTAATAAAAAGCCCTACACTTACGTTACGCTTTAGGCTATATATTTTCACGCCGTCAAACTTAGATATTTTGGATAAAAACCCTAATGTGAGAAAGAGACCATAAGTTGTTGCCAACGTCAAGGAAGCAAGGTTGCCATGGTTTTGACATCTATCGTTTTCACATTTGCAATTGATAATTTGACAAATGTGAATATTAAAATGATTTTTTTATAATTTTGTGCGTAGGAAGTCGCATGAGAACAGCTAGTTTAGGATATAGGCCATACTATAACGTTTAAAATATTTTTTAAAAGAAGCATAACAGAAACATATTTTCGTTCTCACTAAAGTAGTGGAACATACGTCATCACACGGTCGAGTTACAGTCCTTCCAATTTGTTTGGGTCAACGCTCTATAGTTCCCAAGGGTTGGAAAAGGACAATAGAATATTATCCCATATGTAGAAATTTGTTACCTACATTTCCTGTAAGGTATATCGCCGATAAACCATAAATGTAATAAACTAGCTGATGTTCGCGACTTCGCCTGCGTGAAATTAAAAGAATAATAAAAAATATAGCCTATGTTACTCACAGATAACGTAGCTTTTTAATGTTGAAAGAATTTTGAAATCTGACCTGTAGTTTTTGAGTAATTTCAATAAATTCAAAAATACAAAAATACAAATCTTTCCTTTTATAATTTAGATATTATAGTATAGTAAAAGGGATGATAAATAAATATAGGGTTATAAGAGTGTGAAACAAAAGGTCTATTGTAAGTCTATACTAATATTATAAGGAGGAAAGATTTTTATTTTTGTATTTCGGTATATATTAAAATAATTCAAAAACTACTGGGCTGATTTTAAAAATTCTTTCACCACTAAAAGCTATGTACGTAGCTGAGCACGTAGACGAGCAATAACTGGTATGTACATTATCAGTGGTTACAGATTTAACAAAATAAAATCGTGTATGTGATTGAACAAAAGAAAGACGCATGGGTCAGCTAATATTTGGTTCACTGACAACCCCTGATCATTTGTTAACTTCTAGGCATAACATGTAGGCAATGCATCTGCAATTACAAGTCAAGGCAGTGGTCTGTTGACTGCTTTTGGCCTATTCAAACCGATTGCTCCTTCGCCGCCTTAAGTATAAAAAGTCTATTGTCCGTCACCATATCCAGTTTGTTAGGATTTGAAGATTCGATGTGAAGAAAAGTTCGCTCTATTTTGAGAAACCTTGATATTTTATACAGTACATTAGTTACCGGACAAAGGTATCTTTGTGATGCCGACGTTTCACGGTACTAACGTGTTAAAGGGCATTAAGTCGTTATGCGTGAAGTTACGTGACGTCATAACGCAGCTCGTTCTCTTTTATGTGAGCATCTAATCTAATGGCGGTCATCTTTACCTGCTTTAGATGCTTACTACATTTTTAAGACGTAAAAAAACATCAAAAGATCATAAAGTATGGGATGTACAGTCAGGCTTGCTGTTGGTGATATGTAAAGCGTTTAGTATAACTGATAAATATTATAACAGTAGTATATTTGTAACTTTCAAGAATAAAAATCAGAAAGATTAACTAATTTATTTTTTATTTAAAAAAAAACAGCGATTGTACCATATTTGGTTTTTGTTTATTTTCAGGGGACTATTTTTCCTTTATGTAGTACCGAGAATGTATTTTGTTTTTGAATCTGGTTTGGTAACTGTAGCACGTAACAGATGAATTTACAAAAACATTTATAATGAAATAAAAAAAATTCATTTAGCTAAATCAAAGTGAATAATTAAATTTGTAGCCTAATTGTTCTAAGTTCCCTTGGACCTCTGGAAATCAATTTGTTAATGACCTCGTAAGTAATAACTTGATTGAAGTAAAGGCGGTCGTAATAAGC